TACAATGTATCACTATTAATAGTGATAAAATAGTTCTAAAACAGTGGTTCTCAACCTGGGGTCCCCAGATGTTTTTGGCCTTCAACTCCCAGAGATCCTCACAGCTGGTAAACTGGCTGGGATTTCTGGGAGTTGTAGGCCAAAAACATCTGGGGACCCAGGTTGAGAATCACTGTTCTAGAACCTCATTACATTGAGAAACACTCCATTTCTATCAGTATGCACCCCGTCATTTTAAGTGTTAAAATACTGCATTTTCTGTGATGTTTCGCAGGCAGATTTCGACGTATTACTGGCAGGATGCGGCAAAACATGTGATTGGATGCATTCAAAGCCATTCTCAAACTGTCTCAGAAACAGAGTATTTCCTAATGTGATGAGATCCCTAGTGTGAAGGATCTCTATTTCACTGAGACATAGTTATGCTACACAAACACATATTTCACAAAGGCACCCTAGGTCAAACTGGGTCTTGTTTGACAACAGGTATGACAAAGTATAGTACGTGTCAACTTCTCCAAATCCAGGCTGGGAACGATACAATGAGTAATAAATATACAATTTACCATTTCATTATTGTATTATAACCATTACATAAACTCCAATATATACAAATAGGTTCTGTCCACAATAATGCAGAAGAGAAAAATTGTCTCTAGAAGACAACTTAAGTGCATCGTTTATTCTGACTGAGGAAGTCTATGGGAGAGATCAGAAAGTGAACCAAACAAGTCACAACCCAAGGCATGCTTTTCCCCAGGCAAGCTGCCATTCTTTGCAACCAACCGAGTGCCCTGAGCACCCAGGGCACACAAGGAAGTACATTCATTGCCCACACAGAGACAAGCGACAAAGACAGAACTGAGCGGAAAATGAAAAACAGAATCAGGATATTCTACTGGTGAGGCTTCTGGCCAAACCTGGTCTATTTTGATTGAAATGTCGAGATATGGGCTCTGTCAAATCCTAGAAAATGAAGCTTCCCAAACAAAAACTTGCAGTGCATGTCTACTCAAAAGCAAGCTCAACTGGTAAATGGGTATATAAATGAAGATTAAAATGAGGTCAAGATTTTGTCTCATGTGTGATTTTAGACTGAGTAATGGAAAGGAACATGGAAGACTTTCCTATCCAAAGAAAATCATGACTGGAAATGATAAAACTCAGCAGTTCCTATCATATTAAAAGCCACTCACTCTCAGTCCAGTTAAAACATACTTAGAGAGAAACATTAAAATGCTACACTCCTAAACGGCTGTTTCAAAGTAACCTTGCATATTAAGAAGAAGACTCCAGAGTAAATGCTCCGGAAGGCAGGTAACAAAAAATATCAGATGAAACTAGTTACAAGCTAGACTTCATGTATTTTTCTGCTACCTGATCAGTATGCATTAAGCTACTAAAGAAGCATACTGTAGCAGGTTACAAAAAAGGAGATATTCTACCACCAATTTGTTTTATCTCGCGATTATTTGTACCACAATAGCAACCAGCTCTAAGCACAACAGCATGAATAATCTGCATTTTGTTTTGGGTACGTATGTTTTCAAAATTAACTAAAAACACAGTTGAGCAGCCTTGCACTGAAACTTTTTCTATGAAAACTGGGGGGAAGAAATGAATTAATCCTGGAAACACCATGCCCAGTAACACAATAATCAAGGTCGCTGTGTCAAACTATATACAGTAATACACAAAAGGGAAAGGTTCCCAACCATTAATACAACCAAGTGCCATTAATGTATTGTCGAAGGCTTTCATGGCCAAAATCACTGGGTTGTTGTAGGTTTTTTTGGGCTATATGGCCATGTTCTAAAGGCATTCTCTCCTGACGTTTCGCCTGCATCTATGGCAAGCATCCTCAGAGGTAGTGAGGTCTGTTGGAACTAGAAAAAGGGTTTATATATCTGTGGAATGACCAGGGTGGGACAAAGGACTCTTGTCTGTTGGAGCTAGGTGTGAATGTTTCAACTGACCACCTTGATTAGCATTTGATGGCCAAGCAGTGCCTGGGGTAATCTTTTGTTGAGAGGTGATTAGATGTCCTTGTTTGTTTCCTCTCTGTTGTTTTGCTACTGTAATTTTAGAGTTTTTTAAATACTGGTTGCCAGATTTTGTTCATTTTCATGGTTTCCTCCTTTCTGTTGAAATTGTCCACATGCTTATAGATTTCAGTGGCTTCTCTCTGTAGCCTGACATGGTGGTTGTTGGAGTGGTCCAGCATTTCTGTGTTCTCAAATAATATGCTGTGTCCACAAGTCTACATAGGGACCACCAAACGCAGCAATGCCCAAACACGAATCAAGGAACATGAAAGGCACTGCAGACTACTTCAACCAGAGAAGTCAGCCATAGCAGAGCACCTGATGAACCAACCTGGACACAGCATATTATTTGAGAACACAGAAATGCTGGACCACTTTAACAACCACTATGTCAGGCTACACAGAGAAGCCACTGAAATCCACAATGCCTCTAGAACATGGCCATAGAGCCCAAAAAACCTACAACAACCAAGTGCCATTAAATAACATGACTTCTAGTCCCAGCATGCCATAGAGTTGCATTGGATGATCTAGATATTCATCAAAAGGCCATTTCCACCCAGTCATTGGGTAAGTGAAGTTATGGAGTTGGGTAACATGATTACATGTTTTAAAATAGGATATATGCATGGTGATATCTAAAGCATACGAGGAGACACCAATTTGGATACCACAAACTGCTAAAAAGCACCCAACATTTCTTCTCAAGACAAGTGAAGACTTAAAATATACACCATCAAAAACTCCATATCATACTTCATAAATAAGGTGTATTATTTAATTTTGGCTGCTTCCACACAGCAATTAATTTGGGCTGGATGTGGATTTAAGAAATCCAGTTTGCTTTCGAGTCCTCACACAGGTCCCCCACAAACTGGTTGCAAGCTGCAAAGGAGTCCCCAAAGCTCCACTGATTTCAAATCCATCTGAACCAAGGAGTGATTTTCTTCACTCTGGAGAAATGCACTGTTTGACAACAGCTGATTAGCAAAGCAACGTAAGAGAAGGCATGGAGTGTTCCGATGGGAACACCATGCTTTCCTTGCCAGGGGAGGTGTTTGTTTACCTTCACTTGAAGCTGTGTAATCCTGTCCACATAAGCACTCCACAGCCATCTTTCATGGCCTCCTGGAGTCAACACTCAAACCATTACACCAATCCGGCTCCAAGTTAAAAGACCCAATCCCAAAGACAGCGAACACATATTCTAGCTTAGCTCCTGAGCTCCATACAATTGGACATGTTTTAAAAAGTAAGCAAGCAAACAACAAAAAATAATATTCTTAGGCTGGTATCCTTGTGGTGTCTTACATATGCACAAATTCTCCTATGGGAGCAGCAAGATAGTTGGAGCCCCCGGTGGCGCAGTGGGTTAAACCCCTGTGCCGGCAGGACAGGGGAGAGGCGGATGAGCTCCCTCTATCAACTCCAGCTCCTTATGCGGGGACATAAGAGAAGCCTCCCACAAGGATGATAAAAACATCAAAGCATCCGGGCGTCCCCTGGGCAACGTCCTTGCAGACGGCCAATTCTTTCACACCAGAAGCGACTTGCAGTTTCTCAAGTCACTCCTGACACGACAAAAAAAGGCAGCAAGATAGTTTTGCCTGATGCAAATGAACAGTATTCGTTTTAAGATTGCAAAAGAGAAGTTGCACATGGGATATACAGGTTGCAGATATTTGTGTCCACTGCACATTGATGCATGCTGGGCATTTTGAATGCAATGCACATTGCACATTTGTTTACACATTGTTCTGCATGGTGGCAACTAACTCACAAGTTAGGACTATGCAACTCTGATATAACTCCTTGCTACGATTTACCTTCTTAGTGCAAAATATTGGCCTTAAAGACCTTAATATTTTGTTCTAGTTGCAGATACTGACACAACACATGGCCTCGAGTGGCTGACTTTCCAGTAAGATGGGGTTGACTTCAAGTGCTATGAAGGCTAACTGAAACTAAATGAGCATCTCAAGTGATTAAATTTGCTTTTACAATCCAGAAAGATTTTAAGAAAGAAGCGGTATCATGCAAAAATGATAAAGTACTGACATCACCACCTGACACAGTTCACAACCACCCCACAATTAGTAGCATTCAAGCAATTCTGCCTTCTGGCTCTCCATGTTGGAAAAGTCTGGGCTGTTCAACCATCACTTGAGAAACATTCCTGATATTTTGAGATAAATTGACACCAGATATTACTGACTTTACATAATAACCTTATGGTTGACCTAATGGAAGACAAATGAAACATGATGCAAAGGAGAGCCCACTTACTAGCTCCAAATCCCCAATTCTCAGAGTGCATTACTTTCCCCATGAAATCCTGATGGGAAAATGGAATAAATTGACAGTTATATACAGATGTAAGCAAACTAAATAGATTACAGAAACATGACTGTCTATCACTGTGCCAAAAGAAGTCTTCACTGTGGATACTTATTCAAACAGTTCACAGATTAACTTTCATGCCTTGAAAGGTATTATTTAGCTATCTTTGCTTAAATTAGTCAAACCAGTGTAATCCAAATACACAACCCAGATTGATTTGGCCCGGTAAAATTTCAGTCAAACAAATTAAGCTTTTACAGGAATTTTACCATTTCAGAAACAGCGCAGGACATGAATATCATAGAATCATGTAGTTGGAAGAGACCTCGTAGGCCATCCAGTCCAACTCCCTGCCAAGAAGCAGGAAAATTGCATTCAAAGTACTCCTGATAGGTGGCCCTCCAGCCTCTGCTTAAAAGCCTCCAAAGCAGGAGCCTCCACCACACTCCACAGCAGAGAGTTCCACTGCTGAACGGCTCTCACAGTCAGGAAGTTCTTCCTAATGTTCAGGTGGAATCTCCTTTCCCGTACTTTGGAGCCATTGTTCCATGTCCTAGTCTCCAAGGCAGCAGAAAACAAGCTTGCTCCCTTCTCTCTAGGACTTCTCCTCACATATTTGTACATGGCAATCATAGGAAGCAAATGTTTCTTAAACAGATCACACTGAAGCTTCCACACATTTGTGAGCATACATACACAGCCCACAGCAACCGTAACTTTGCATTTAAGTAACTGTTTCTCCCTTGAGTTTTCCTTTTGACGTATTTGCATCAGAAACATTAAATTTATTTTTTAACGTTTTTGGAGCCACTGTGAGGGAGGCTCTGTATAGGCTGAGCTTATTCCTATCCCCAAGATTAGAAATTGTAGGGCTCAGGGAAACAGAGGGATTTGGTCACATTTTCATCCTCTCAAGGGTCTCATGTCCCCACCTAATAACTGAACCGATCCAAGGCAGATGGGAGTTGTAGTCCAAAATGACTAGAGTCACGAAAAGTGGCCAGAAATGGGAGAGTTACATGTTCCTCAAAGCACTATGGACAGCCTTGGGTACATCCCATTCTGAAGGATGGAACGGTCAACTCGTTAAGTTGTTTATGAGCATCACAAATACTATTTTTCAAGCCAGTTGTTTGGGGAATTGAAAGAAGAAGGCCTGCACAATTGGTGAATCTGCCATGGAAGTGCCACCTTCCAGCATGAAAGGTACCATTTAGTAAAATGCCAACAAAAAGTTTCACAAAGTGTTTTGGACAAAGTTTCCTAGAGACTCCCAGCAAGAGATAACTTTTATAGTCTCTAGATTACTGTATTTTTGTGACTGCTATTGCTGCTTCTGTGGACCTGGCCCAACTTTCGTTTTGTGCCAAACCAAAGAAGGTCTAAATCCTGATGCTTCCAAAGGTGAACAAAAAGGGGGAATGTTTCATTTTATATGTTGGGAAACAAAAACTTTGCATTATCCTTTCTTATAGCAGAAAAGGAAATTAAAGTACTAAACACAGAAAGTAAATCTTAGTTCATACCTAGTTGTTACAAACAGAGCAATCTTTGTGCTTTTTTTTTTTTTTTGCAGTTTAGGAAGTCATTTAAATAATCCTCTAGCTAAAAGTTTGACATAGTTGTTTGTGGCAGATAAATATCAGAACTACAGGAGTGTATGAAGAAATTGTTTGGGAAACCTTGTCAGGGAAATATCTGGAGTTGTGCAACCATGTAACTGGTTTTACGTTATTGCTATCTGTCTCCCCAGTACATTGTACCTAGCGTTGGATGCTCTCTCTTTCAAAAGCAGAACCTCTTGCCGATTTTAATTCGGATGCTTCTACTGGATGGTGCAAATGTAGACAGGATATCAACTTTCTTCTCTCTGGGTCTGTTAAGTCAGCAAAACAATGTGCACCAAGAGAGTTTGTCATTGCAATCGATCCTTCTCTTCCTCTTCCTCCTCCTTTATACACAAATATCTTCATTTGAAAAGGTCAATCTTTAGAGCCTTCATGTCAATGACTTCTCAATCCTTCTCCTACTCACTGTACATGGCAGTGCTCTTGCTGACCACATGCGCCTCCTTCATTTCCTAAAAAAGTGAACACTAGTATTTTAAAAGGTCTGCGGGCTTCTATTTGGTTTCCTTCTTCACAGACATCACAATTTGTATGTTATTTTCACCCATCAAGACGTTGAATCTCTGGGTGATGATCTACGTCTCTGGATTCTGTCCGAGCACGAATATAATCACTGGTTTGTCGGCCATTTTGCTGTTGGTTGTTAATTCTCCAATTTTTAACGGCTAGAAATAAATTCACAGCATAGACTGCAGTCGCTAGGAAACCAAATATCTAAAGAGAAAAGAAGGAGAAAATGCATTTTATTAAACATTTCAGAAAACAGGAATGTATAAGCTTCACACAAAAATGAAGCAGCCTTATTCTATCTTTAATCCTGTCGTCAGCAATGTATTATTTGTCATATGAGGTAATCTCATGTCTTTGAAAGGTCCTGTGAAATGCAAACCTATTTGCAAGGTTTGCAGCTTGGGAGTGATCCCGGACTCATCACTGAGCCTGGAACCCCAGGTCTCGGCGGTGGCTGGGAGAGCTTTTGCACAGTTAAAGCTGGTGCGCCAGCTGCGCCCGTACCTTGGGAAGTTGGACTTGGCCACAGTGGTCCACACTCTGGTTACATCCCGTATAGACTACTGCAACGCTCTCTACGTGGGGTTGCCTATGAAGACTGCTCCGAAGCTGCAATTAGTCCAACGCTCAGCAGCCAGGTTACTAACAGGGGCGGGGTACAGGGAGCGTACAACTCCCTTGTTGCGCCAGAACCACTGGCTGCCAATTAGCTTCCGAGCACAATTCAAAGTGCTGCTTTTAACCTATAAAACCCTAAATGGTTCCGGCCCAGTTTACCTGTCCGAACGTATTCTCCACTATGAACCACCAAGAGTGTTGAGATCGTCTGGAGAGGCCCTGCTCTCGGTCCTGCCACCTTCGCAGGCGCTGGGGACGAGAGACAGTGGTGGCCCCTCGGCTATGGAATTCCGTCCCGAAGGACATTACATCTGCCCCCTCCCTCCTGATCTTTAGGAAGCTAGTGAAACCTGGCTGTGCAACAAAGCTTTTGTGGAATGATGTCTGAGACCAGCAATCGACTAATGGTACTGATCACAATATATGAACTGGACATACGGACTGAGTTGGACACGATTTTATCCTGGCGAACGGCTTTTATGTAATTTTATGTAATTTTTGTAATGTAATTGGTAACTTAATGTTGTGTATTATGTTTTAGATTTTCAGTGTTAGCATTGAATCTTTGCTGTTAGCCGGTCTGAGTCCCTCTGCAGAGGTAGAGAACATCGGAATATAAAAATTTTAAATAAATAGATAATAAATACATTTGTCTGGTTAGTTGAGAATACAATTTGCTTCGCCCTCCTCCATACCTTTTTGGCATTTTCTATCCTGCTGTTATCTTTTATATGGGGAGATCTACCGGCATTGCTAAGAACATTCTAGAAAGGAGAGTAAAACCATCTATATTTCTAGAGGAGCTGTTTGGCATGATCCCTTATGGCATATTAGGTTTACACACCTTTGAGGTACTACAACTCTTTTTTTCCCAAATAAAGAGGATTTCCTAAGCAGCTAGACCAGGCATGGGCAAACTTTGGCCCTCCGGGTGTTTTGGACTGCAACTCTCACAATTCCTAACAGGCTGTTAGGAATTGTGAGAGTTGAAGTCCAAAACACCTGGAGGGTGAGAGTTTGCCCATGCCTGGGCAAGAGAAATGCTACAGATGTTAGGGATCACAAATCCTACTACCTGTAGCCTGCACAGCCAATTGCAGGAAATGGTGATGTGTTATAATATGGATGGTAAGGAGTACCCATGGAGGTGTCTGTCTGCAGGGGGAATGACTGGCAAAATGTATATTTAGATATGGATCACATGAAAATGAACAATTACTGTCCAACAATTACATGAAAATGAACGATCGCTGCTCAATAATCTACAAGTGTCTTCCTGCATTCCCAGCTATACTGTGTCTCTTTTTCAAAGCCTAATCCAATCTAAGCATTCCATATCCAGGTCTTAAAAATTTTTGAGTCCAAAAGTCAAAAGTAATATGATAGACCTTATAGGTTGATAATATTGAGGATCAGAAGAATCTAGTTTTCACTCTGATCTTCAGAATTGTTTTAGGAATGGCTCTGTCTCAAAATGCCAGTGGTCACTCCGTAATTGTTAGTTGCTATAGATTAATGACACCAAAAGACTGATTTAAGTAGAAAGACTGATAGTTGGGGAAGGATCACTAACATAGCAGGTTTCCTTAAACAGAAAGTTTTATTTATATCTTGTCCACAGTTTTTCAATTTATATTTATTTCTTTTATCCAGAGATGTCAAAGCATTGTACAGCCATAAAACATAAATAATACACAAATCAACAAACAATGCAATTTGGTCCCAAGAGATTAAATAGGGAATGCTCATCCAATATTAGCTTACTAGAATACAGTAGGAGCCCCCAGTGGCGCAGTGGGTTAAACCCCTGTGCCGGCAGGACTGAAGACCGACAGGTCGCAGGTTCAAATCCGGGGAGAGCGCAGATGAGCTCCCTCTATCAGCTCCAGCTCCTCATGCGGGGACATGAGAGAAGCCTCCCACAAGGAGGATAAAACATCCAAACATCTGGGCATTCCCTGGGCAACATCCTTGCAGATGGCCAATTCTCTCACACCAGAAGCGACTTGCAGTTTCTCAAGTCACTCCTGACACGACCAAGAAACTAGAATATAGTAATTTACAACCAACACATGAACATTTTCCCAAGAAAAATAACATTACTATAACAACTTGGCAAAATGGTTGTTAAAAGAATCCTCCACCTTGTGCAACTGTGGATTAGAACAGACAATGCATCTGTATGTTTGTCCGCAATGCCCTGCCACGTGTACATTTATTTATTTATTTCGCGTATTTCTACCCCGCCCTTCTCAACCCCCGAGGGGGGACTCAGGGCGGCTTACAAAAGGCACAATTCGATGCCTACACAATAGTACAAATAAACATATATAAACAGCAATTAAAACAGTTATAACCAGTTAAAACAATCAGTTACATAAAAGAGGAAGAGTTGTTGGAGGCTACAGACAATGCGGTTGCTGTTGCCTGTTTTTGGTCATAAGATATTTAGCCACTTGTGCACCTTCTATTTTTATCAGTTTTATACTAATTTATGCAATGCTTTTTATACAAAATAAATAAATAAATAATATTATTACAACTAGCTCCTTAACATGTCATTCTGAAGCATGACATGAACCAATGGACTGGAAGCGCAGTATCTGGCAGAGCCAGATAGATAGATTAATAGATAGATTAAAAATATACATTTTGCTTTAATAATCCCTGTGTTACCTTGTGACTCCTTGATTCAGAACTTGTCAAATATCAGTTGGCTAAGCATGCTGCAACAAAAGGCAAAGCACAATCAGCACATGATCTGCCCATTGTTTGCAAATTGGAGCCATTTCTTTCACCTTTAAGTGATTGAAAAGATTAGTCTATAAACTGGGAAAACAGAAAGAAGTGATGAGATATACATTCCACTTTTATTTTCCTTCAAAAGAATTTAAGTTCTCTTACCACAGCTGCAATTTCTGCTCCTTTTTTATGGTTAAGAGCCGCAAGTACTACCGATGCAATGAAAAAGAAGAAAGTGCAGAGTCCAGTATTGACTAAATCCTATGAAAACAGAATCAGGGAAGATATTTCATGGTGAAAATGCCAAATATTTGTATATACCAGAATTTTGCAGTTTTCAGAAGAAGTAACTGCGACCTTTATAGATAAATTCTTCACTATTTTGAATAGAAATACAATTTTTCAGCAATGCTTTTTTAAAAACTTAAAAAAATACTTCTTCACTTCCAAGTGGTGAGCTTCTGTGCAACTTAACCCAACCCAGCCTCCATTCTTCCAGCCACAAAAATGTTATATGACCTAGCTATGGAGTATATATAGATTACTTTTTTGTTGCTAGCTCACTGGAATCCAGAATGTTACTCACATGCTTACCACATGCATCCACTGTATTATATAATATAGGACATTTATAATGTACTTTGACTTGGGAGGGAGAAGTAAAAAGAACAGATAGTGCACTGACATGTATGTACAAACATTCTCCACAAAATGGAGAATGGTAGTTGTGGTGATTTTAGGATTCTTAGGAATCAAGAGTTCAGAAACATAGTCCGTATTCCTAAAGGCATTGCTGAATTTGTTGGCAATTGTATGTGTATGTGTGTATGCTGATTTTACAAAATTATATGTGTTGTAATTTTTGTTCCACATTTGATTTTGGTTATTTTTGGCTTGGTAAGTCAATAAAGTTCCAAACAAATTTCCTCCATAGAACTGTAATTATGCCCCTAGCAATAGGTTAATGCATGGTCTGGAATGCTGCGCACTTGGAAACATTTGGATTTTATTCCTAAGCAACAGCTAAATCTATGAAATAAAACTGCAGGAATTTCTAAACGTTTTGCTAAGTGTCAAGAAAAGTTTTTCTGTGATGCTTTCACCTCCATCAACAGAAAGAAAAAGGAGCCACAATGGCGCAATGGGTTAAACCTTTGTGCTGGCTGAACTGCTGACCTGAAGGTCAGTGGTTTGAATCCGTGAGACAGAGTGAGCTCCCCTCTGTCAGCCAACAGTTAGCACAAGTTCAGCATCTCTGCGGTTTAACCCACTGCGCCACCAGGGGAGATGGTGACGGGGTAAAAATAAAGAATAATAAGAATAGTAATTTATTATAATTTATTTATTTATTTGTTTGTTTACTGTATTTGTATACCACCTTTCTCAGCCAATCGGCAACTCAAGGCGGTTTCCAACAAATCAGTACATATAAAAACATAATACAGATTAAAACATTAAACAATATAAAACACCACAAAAGCAATAAAAACAACATCATTAGCATCTTATTATTATCAAGCATTGTCCAGTTCCATTGTCAAATCATTCAATTTCTTATATTAGCTACTCTGCAACTTTTTTCTTGATTTCAGTTATATTATTATTATTATTATTATTATTATTATTATTATTAAACTTAAATCAAGAAAAAAGTTCCCTAAGATCCACTGAGATACTTGTAGGAACACCTCAAGCAAGCAAGAGTCTAAAAGTGGCAGGCTAAAACCCAGAACCTCAACCCATGGCTGATACTGGATGAGAAACTCCCATCTAGGCACATAGAAGACTTGGGTGACTCGGAAGTACTGAACAGACTGTGCTCTGGCATCACGAGATGCAGAGTAAAACTTAAGAAATGGGGCTACAAAGTGGAGTCCACAATATGCGAGTACAGAGAAGAGCAAACCACAGACCACCTACTACAATGCAACCTGAGTCCTGCCACATGCACAACGGAGGACCTCCTTGCGGCAACACCAGAGGCACTCCAGGTGGCCAGCTTCTGGTCAAAGGAAATCTAGCATAATGCCAAGTTTTTTTTCTTTGCTTAATGATTTTTATTGATGAATAACATAAAAAACATTGAACATTGAACAAAAAAATTGTACACACAAATGTTTAAAATATCCTATACATACCTATACACTGATATTAGTTTTTAGAACAGCGAAAGTAGGTGAACATCATAAAGAGAGAGTATAAAGATTAGAAAGAAAAGAAAGGGGGGAAAACAGTAAAAGAAAGAACAATACAACAATCACCTCAAAACTCACCTGACAAACATACATTTATCAATTTTTCCTTGTCACTTTCAGATCGCTTCTAGTGGTATTATTTAATTCCTTTTCCTAATATTCCTGATATACCTGCCACCTTGCGTGTGTTTTAAGTCTTAATCGAGATAATTCTGCTTTTTGATAATTCTTTATTCTGCCGCGAGTCGCCCTAGGGCTGAGAGCGGCGGTCAATAAATGCACCAAATTATAATCATTTGTATTTGTTCTTTTTTAAGAAAAGTAATAAATTTACTCCAGTCTGTTCTATTTGATCTTGATCTGTTTTGGGCAAGTTTTTGAGTCAAAAGGTCCATGTTCGCAATATCCATCACTTTTGTTGTGGCTCAGCTTGACTCTGAGTCTGAAGCTGAGCTCTGTGAGCCAGAATTCCTACAGGATGAGGATGATGGGTTACAGATTTCTGTACATGCTTCAGACAGGCCTGACAGTGGGGCTGCTGAAGGAGAAACAGTCAGTCAGTTCTCAGGGGAAAAGAATGTTAGTGAGACTGATAACGAGTGTGAATTCCCACACGGCCAGGTGGAGTTGTCTTTGCCTTCCGACAGCTGTACCGAGATAAGATCGTCTGCAATTAAGGCTCCGGAGAAGCACTTGCTTGGCCAGCAAGCGAGAAGCCAAGGAGGCCAAGGGTCAACGCAATGTGTTCATGTCTGCAAAGGGTATTTAGCCTTGTAGCTGACAAGCAGGGCCTGTCAGTCCAATGTAGCTCTTCCGATGCAAACGTCTGTGGATTAACTTTGGCTTTTAGCAGCACGCTTCTGGCTTCCTGAGTCTGGGATTTGGGCCTTGTTTTCAACTATGTTCTACAGACTCTTGTTTGACCATTGCTAAAGGATTATGCTTCATGGTTTTTGCCTTTGGATCTTGGGAACTGTGTCTGCATTTATGCCTTTGACCTGCCTATGGATTTTATGCATTTCTTATGCTCTGTTTTGATTTTGCCTTTTTCTCAATAAACTACAAAACCTACAGCTTTGGTGTGGTGGTGTCTGGAGCAAGGTGAAAACTACCCTGAGTTGCAACAACTTTTTCAATCCAGTTTCCCATTGTTGCTGTTTTTTCTGCCTTCCAAAATCGTGCTATGCATATTCTAGCTGCTGTGGTAAGGTAAAACAAGATCTTTTCTTCGTTTTTTCTCTTCATTTGGAAATCTGTAATCCCCAGAAAAAACATTCCGGCTTAAACTCAAACTTTAGTTGTAAAATTTCTCCTATTTTTTTTGTAATGCCAAGTTTTTAAAAACTTTTTTTGTGTTTTTCAATGCATTTAACTCTACCCTGAACTTGTTTCTGACACAAAACGTAAATAAATACTTTTCCCCAGCCTTAGAGCTACAATTGGTTGGGTGCAATTCCCATTACCCTGCTTCCTAAAGTGCAAACCCCAGGAAATGGGGCTACAAAGTGGAGTCCACAACGTGTGAGTACAGAGAAGAGCAAACCACAGGCCACCTACTACAGTGAAACCTGAGCCCTGACATATGCACAATGAGGGACCTTCTTATAGTAACACTAGAGGCACTCCAAGTGGCCAGCTTCTGGTCAAAGGAAATCTAATATAATGGCAAGTTTTTAATTTTGTTTGTGTTTTTAAATACATTATAACTGTATCCTTAATTCACTTCTGACATGATAAATATATATAAAACAATGTAGATAATAGATAAAATGTATAAACAAACTGGCTCTTTTTTCTGATATGGGTGAGCAAAACCATTTTTCCAGTCTTCATGCCATATACCAGACAAAGGCCAAGATCTAGAAATAACCCAGTTCTTTTTTATGATTCTATATAATTCTTACATCTAAAATAAAATATTTCATTACACTAGGAGAAAATAAACTTGAAAATTACCTTTGTATTTGCTACTAAAGCATTTATATCTTAGCATATTATAAAAAGTGTTTGAGTGAGTTTTCAGGCATGCCAAAATTTTCCATTACAATATGGAGGCCAGAACTGTTGGAGGGAGGGAATATGAGCTCAGCTGATCTTGCAGTTTGCAAAATGCAATTTAAAAATTCAGAATAAACACAATGATTTTCTTATAGGGCTGACAATTACAGGTCCTGTGTTTATCTTAGACTTAAGCCAAGAGCCAAGCAGATTTAGGCAATGCCAAAATATTACAGCACATCATAAGATTTTCTCTTAAATATATCCTTATATCCCTACATACAAAAACCACTTCACAGGCTATTAAAAGGGCAAAAAGTGGTAACAAAGGGATAAGAAAAGACTGATTTCCCTCCTTAACCCTCCAGAAACAAGCTAAGTTTTTAAAGAATGTTAAAGAATTTTTAAAGACAGAGAGTGCTGACTGTTATTTATGCATTTTAACATACCATATATAAGTTGAGCTTTTCAGCCTTTTTTAGGCTGAAAAAGCCCCCCTCGGCCTATTCTCAAGTCAAAGTTACTTATTATTTTACTCTGTTATTATTATTTATTACATTTATTATTTTATTCTATTATTATTATTATTATTATCATCATCTTTATTTTACTCTATTATTAAATTTATTATTTTACTCTATTTATTAATATTATATTACATTTATTATTTTACTCTATTATTATTGCATTTATATTACTCTATTATTATTACATTTATTATTTTACGCTATTTAATATTATTGTTACATTTATTATTTTATTCTATTCTTGTTATTATTACATTTACATTATTTTAAAATGAAGGTAACGGCTTCCCCTGACATTAAATCTAGTTGTGTCTGACACTTGGGTGGTGGGGTGGGGGTTATCATCTCTATTTCTAAGCCGGAGAGCAGGCATTGTCCATAGACACTTCCTAGGTCAGTGGTTCTCAACCTGTGGGTCCCCAGGTGTTTTGGTCTACAACTCCCCGAAATCCCAGCCAGTTTACCAGCTGTTAGGATTTCTGGGAGTTGAAGGCCCAAAACATCTGGGGACCCCAGGTTGAGAACCACTGTCCTAGGTCATGTGGCCAGCATGACAGCATGGAGTGCCGTTACCTTCGGTAGAAGTGGTACCTATTGATCTACTCACATTTGCATGTTTTCAAACTGCTAGGTTGGCAGAAGCTGGGGCTAACAGCAGGAGCTCACCCCGCTCCCCAGATTCAAACCACCAACCTTTCAGTCAGCAAGTTTAACAGCTCAGCAGTTTAACCCACTGCACCACCCTCCACATCCCTCAAAAAAGGATATAATAAATAATGCATGAGGCACCTCCTTGTATATTAAATAGGGTCCAGTCTTTAGCAACATCTTATTGATTTAAAAGGTTAACTCAATTTTTACTCATTTTTAAAACCATATGTTGATTTTAAGCACAATTTGAAAACTGTAGGCTGTGTTTTCCTCAAGCATGAACAATAAAGACTTGCACCGAAGAAAATCCTGTCTTATGCAGAAAAAAATATATTCATAATACAATTTCAGCTTTATATTTTTTAACATGCAATGTTTCACGACACTTCTTATGCCAGTGGGGTTCATACTGAATTTAACGGAGCACATGTACTCCCTTAGTGCAAAAAGCATTAATGAAACATCTCAAGTTTCTGTATGAAGCTGGTAGAGCTTAAAGTCTAAACTTCAACTGTTTATTCAGCTATTTTTATAAAGTGAAGGTTTGGATGAGAACTTACTGTAATGTTCCAGTTGATCTGTGGTATTCTTGCATGGAGATTTAAACAGAACATAAGTAACAGGACTCCAGTAACTACTGATGCACTACAGCTGACAAATTCAAAGAAGTAAATGCCTTCACAAGGGGAGCATTCCATTATCGTCTCTATGCAGATAAAGGAAATCAGTGCCAAAACCTAAGGGAAAGAAAATGAAAAAAAAAATAAATACTCCAGAAACATTCTGAAAAGTCACAAATGATCCTGAAATGGGATTTTGACAGCCAAAACTGAGTGATATGATTTCAATAGGATTCTTGGTTTTAATGGAAAAGTCAAGATGTCTCATATTTTAAGGCTTCAGCCCTGTGCACACTTAATGAACTCATATAGGAATGGGCCATAAGTTAATTAGGTCACTAGTTCTTCCACTACTATAAAGAATATATTACTTATATCTCCATTCAGTACTTTTTTAAAGATGTTTTTGAATTCCGAATGACTAGTAAATGCAATTTACCAAAACACTCAATCCTCTATATCCAGGGATTCTGCATCCACAAATTCAAAAATCCAAAACTTGAAAACATTCCCCCTTGATTTTATATAAGGAACATCATTTTACTATGCCATTGTATATATAATGGGATTTGAGCATCAATGAATTTTGGTATTAACAGGGATCCTGCAGCCAAATTCCAGTGGATATCTAAGGCACACTATAAATATCTAGCTCTGTCCAATAAAACTATATGAAAGCATAATAATAATAATAATAATAATAATAATAATAATAATAATAATAATGTCGTCATTGTCTTTTTGTCCAACTGCCAGCTTACCTGAAGTCCTGGTCCCACAACCAGGTTTTTAACTTCCTTCTGAAGGAGAGGATGGATGTTGATAACCTAATCTCCCCAGGGAGTGCATTCCACAGGCAAGGGGCCACCACCGAGAAGGCCCTGTTCCTCGTCCCCACCAGTCTCACTTGTGATAAAGGTGGGGCCAAGAGCAGGGCCTCCCCAGAAGATCTTAAACTCCGAGGTGGGACGTAGAAGGAGATACGTTCAGACAGGTACGCTGGGCTGGAGCCGTAAAAGGGTTTTGTAGGTCAAAACCAGCACTTTGAATTGTGCTCGGAACTGGATCGGCAGCCAGTGGAACTGACACAGCTCCACTGTTATGTTTTTGTATTTTGTTATGTTTTCGTATATTGTTATGTTTTTGTATTTTTGTAATACAAAAACATAACAATACCAAGACATAAATATATAAGATGCAAATAATATAATAAACGACACAGACAACATAAAACATGCATTTAAAAACAGAGAATTTCATTGGGCTGGGCCACATTCAAGGTTAAAAAATTTAAAAACTGGGAGATAGGACAATATAAATAATCAGGATGAGGATCTGAGAATGAGGGAGGATTCAATTGCACGAACCATAAATAAAGTGCTTCTAAGGACGTTTAGTGCAAAGTTTGGTCAGGGAGTTCTTACATTCAATCACTAAAGGCACATTGGAATAGCCAGGTTTTCAGATTCCTCCTGAAGATTGCTAGCGTGGGGGCTTGACTAATATCTCTGACTTTTGACACAGTTCACTGACAGATGGCAGCTGGAAGTCTGTCTGCATCATATGGTGGGCTCTGTCTATGAACGGTTTTAGAAATGTATGGAAACTTGCATGTGATGAAGTCCTTAGCTTTTCCTACTGAATTTTTTCCTGGGGTATTGAGACTCCAGGTGCATCTCCATAGCAGGAAAATCCAGGGCTGGTCCAGAGTGCAATACTCTACACCAGGCCGCAGGATGGCTGCACTGCCCACCTCTGTCCTGATGCAGCACAGGACTGGGTTGTGTCCCTTACCCTGTTCTCCTGTCGCTGTTGTAGCTGTGACCACAGAGCTCCAAAGAGCTCTTGGCCAACCCTTGGCACCACTCCTGATGTTTCCATGACTTGGGGAGGGTGTCTTCATAACTTGGGGAGGGTGCCTTCTACCCTAAGTTGCACAGGCACCCTTGCAACCAACAGACAAAGAGTTCTTTCTCTCACCCTGAATATTCCACAGATATATAAACTCCATTTTCCTAGTTTCCAACAGACCTCACAACCTCTGAGGATGCCTGCCATAGATGCAGGTGAAATGTCAGGAGAGAATGCTTCTGGAATACGGTTATACAGCCCAAAAACTTACAACAACCCACTGTCCACAATAAGTCCTGATGTTGGTACTGCAATACATATTGCTGCAATACATATTTAATCTCAACAGCTGCTTCTATAGGGATTAGTACCACTATTTTTCTCTATTTAATTTGCTGCATTTCATTCATTTAGTTTTTGATAAATCGAGAAACACCATCAATTGAAAATGGCTCCATTATTATAATTATTATTTCTAAGAGCCTTCCTGTTTATCTAAAAGGGTCTACAAAAAGACTTATTGTGTGGTTCAGTAACGTCCTAACTCATGATTTTAGAAAACCACTGAATAGACAAGCTTTTTCCTGAAGAATACCCACAATGTTTCAGTAAGAATGTCACGATGCCATAATTTATTTTTTAAACCTGGTGACACAGCATTATCAACCATGTAGAGTATTTTGAGTTGTGGGAGGATTCAATTAGCATCTCCTTAATGTATTCAATACCCCTCTTACATTCAAATATAGGTAGTACTGTTCTAATTTAGCTTGGTCATTTCAAAGTAGGTCCCATGACCTTATGATGTCGTTTCATTTACCCACAGTTAAAATAGTTGGGATAAATACAAATAGCTTTAGTAACAGGCCTTAAAGGCAGCACTGTTTTTCAAAAGGGAAACTACCATATTTATTTACTCAAATTTAGATGAACTTGCCAAAATTAAGGTGCACATTAGATTCGTGTAATATGATAATCTTAGCATTTTAACTACTCGCTGGGTTGCTCTCCCTTCATTTCTTTTAAAACCCTACTAACAGATACATCCTACCTCAGTTCATGCCCAGTGTTTATTTTTTAAATTTTAAACTATTACATCTGGCCCGACCATAGGTTTTTTAAATCCTTGCGTGTCACTGTTTATATGTGAGTTATATTAATTTTATTGTTTTTTGTTTTATTGATGTGTTGTCAGGCTTGGCCTCATGTAAGCTGCTCCAAGTCCCCTTGGGGAGATGGTGGCGGGGCATACATAAATAAATTATTATTATTATTATTATTATTATTATTATTATTATTATTATTATTATAGTGTTAAATCACTTCAAATTTAATTGCTACAGCTCAATGCTATTTTATCCTGGGATTTGTAGTTTCGTGAGCCATCAACATTCTTTAGCAGAGAAGCTTCAAGATCTTGTAAAACTACATGATTCCATGGCATTGTGTCAGGACACTTAAAGTGGATTCATTCTACATCACACCTCAAGGCTTTCTTTTCCATTGTTGGACGCTTTGGTATTCTAACACTTTTGTTTTTAAAGAAGTAATTCTAAGAAGGCAGCAACTGTAAGGCACTCCTTTTTTGGCCAAATTACAAAGAGTACACTTTTTGCTGCAGCGCGTTATGTTCACCACCACCAACCCCCCCCCCCCCAAAAAAAACACCCCACAACATTTCAGGGTTTTGTAAAATTGAAGTGTGCATTAGATTCAATGGCACATTAGACTCGAGTAAAGACGGTATTTAAGTATCACTGGGGTAGATTTCCACCAACACTTCATGCAATGAAGTTCTTTCATATTGTACCTATGGACAATGCCACCATGTAAATAATTTGCATTTTCGTTGTCCACAATGGTCACGTTAATATTACACACAGTCTTATTACAATTAAGTGAGAGGGACATTACTAACTACACATTTCCTCTATGCAACCTTCTGCGATTTTTTTTATCGAGTCAGAACGAATTGAGAATATACTGCAAGTTGCTTCTGGTATGAGAGAATTGGCCGTCTGCAAGGACGTTGCCTAGGGGACGCCATCCTGTGGGAGGCTCCTCTCATGTCCCCGCATTGGAAGATGGCTCACAAACGGGAGTCTCGTGGATTCGAACCGCCAACATTCAGGTCTTTACATCAATAGTTCAGCCAGCACAAGGGTTTAACCAATTGCACTACCGTGGCTCAGTCTTGCGATGATCATGTGTGATATACTTTGTGTTATTTCCAGCCACACAGTTGCGGCTGCTCCAGTTTCTTCACCCGTCATGCATGTGAATGTATGTATGTCCACATTATATATGTATGACTCGATATGGTTTTCTATTATGCAAAATGCCTGGTAAGAATATTGTCAGAACTAATGCATGCGATAGCAGTGAACATCCTGCCTGAGTCTGTCCAGCTGAAATGAAAAAGAAAAATATAAACTGAGATAGCAGCTTAGATAAAACAATATTATTACCAAACAAGGGTGTTACAAAATTAAAGATATTTTCAAAACGGTTGTGAACATACTAAATTAGTTTGGTAGCAAGCGAAAGAGGGTGGTGTTCAGCACAACTACTGAACAATTCTACTGGTATTGCACCACCTGATATCTGCAGGAAGTAGCAGCCAGCAATGAAAGGACCGAGGCATTGACATCTCCGGCCCACCCTCTGTTCGGATATCAGCCAGCATGCCAATGACTTAAATCAAGGAATGGCTTTCTAAGATCTACAGAGATACTTGCAGGAACACCTCAGCAAGCGAGAGTTCAAGAGTGGCAGGTAAAAACCCTCAACCTCAATCAGTGGCTGATACCAAATGAGAGACTCCCTCCTGGGCACACAGAAGACTGGGCGACTGGGAAGGCACTGACCAGACTACGCTCTGGCGCTACGAGATGCAGAGCTAACCTTAAAAAATGGGGCTACAAAGTGGAGTCCATGACATGTGAGTGTGGAGAAGAACAAACCACAGACCACCTACCAGACTATTAACTGGAGCGAATTACAGAGAGCGGTCAACCCTCCTCTTTAAGGAGCTCCACTGGCTGCCGTTTATCTATCAGGCCCAATTCAAGGTGCAGGTCTTGACCTACAAAGCCTTGAACGGTTTGGGACCCTCTTACCTGCACAACCGTATTTCCATCTACGAACCCACACGATCCCTTTGATTTTCCGGAGATGCTCTTCTTTCGCTCCCGCCCGCATCGCAAGTGCGACTTGTGGGGACGAGAGAGAGGGCCTTCTCTGCGGTGGCCTCCCGGCTCTGGAAC